GAAGGGTGCAACAATGAATGAATGGAATTCCAAAATCTCTGTAGATGTTCATTGAAATGAAAAATAAAGAAACTAAATTAATAAAAAAAATTTAATCTCCAAATTCTAACCACAAAAGTCCTAGATAGTTTCTAAAGTTTAGATGCTGAAATAGCTATTCTTAAAAATAATAAAAAATAAATGATCAATGAGATAATTTTTTAATGTTCTGCTTACTCTGGGAGAATATTTCAGGAAATAAAAAATTGCAAATTTATCTTGGTAATTGTTGTTACGTGCTGTTGAGTCGCCTTCAACTCATAGTGACCCTAAGTACAACAGCTCTGAAGCTTAGTCTATCCTGAGCCAGTCTCGCTGACTCCAACACACCTATTCCCACTGCCCTAGTTACTGTATCAATCCATCTCATGGGGGTCTCCCTCTCCTGCACTGCCCCTCCACCCTTCCGAGCATAATGTCATCCTCCAAGTATGATCTCTCCTGGCCATATGAAAATTTTTTTTCTTATTATTAAACTAGTTTATGATTAATATTAATAAAAAGTGCTTCTGAGCTTAGGAGGTGCTGCACTCTGGTGGCCTAGTAGTAAGGACTTGTGCTACCAACCAAAAGGTTCATTGTTCAAATCCCTCAGCTGCTGTATGGAGAAAGTTATGAAATCTCTTCTCCTATGGTATATAGCCCCTGAAAACCCACTGGAGAGTCAGCTATTAGTTAGTCTGATTTGATAACCAGTACCCAGTCCAATCTCTTTAAAAATTACAATCCTTGAAACTAAGTTCTTTTGGGAGGTGCTTAAATAAACATATACCTTGTTCATTCTTGAAGAAAGGAAAGTGGTATAGGACAAAGATCTAGTGACCTTGAACTTTAAACTTTTCCTTACTTCCCGCTCTCCATCTCTTTTTGTCTAGGAAGTAGGTAAGTTAAGCTTTCTCTGACAGACATCCACGATAGTTTCCTGTCATGCTATTCATCATGTAAGCTAAGATCTTTGACATACAGGCAGGAGCAGTAAGAACTTAGGAACAGAGATGCAGAAGATGAGTGAGATGGTATTTCAAGTATTATAAAGCCATCGTAAGATCACGGAGGGACGGAGCAGGCCGCTGGCTACCGTTACATTCATTATTGTAAGGTTCGATTCACTTGGCAGGGAATGCATAACATATCATTTCCTACTTCACATACAAGAATCACCTTGCAAGATAACGTCGCTATTCAGAAAAAATATCTGGTATGTGCAAATTGATATTTTGTTGTTAGGTGCATTTCTGTTGAGTGCAGCTGATAATAACCCAACGAATAATAGATCTAAGCCATGTCCTATCATTTCCCATCCTCATTATCTCTGATACATTTTGTTGTAGTCACTTTTTCAATCAGTTTTGTTGAGGGTTTTCAATGAGATAGGTGCCTTACGGGTGTAAGAAATAAAAGTCTTGCCAAAGACACTAATTTTAGTGAGTGCATTTCTTTAAATGTCAGGTCTTCAGAAAGAATGAAAATGGGGAAAAGAAGCAAAGGCTGAATTACATTGTCCACTTCATAGATATTTTCTGTTTTGTATGAGAAATCATGTTATCTAATACTATGAGTTTAAAAATATTTATGGAGTCATGTTTATTATAATTTGAAATAGTTGTCACACATTTGATATTTGCCTCTAAATAGCTGGTCAAGAATACATCAGAAAAACAATAAAAATAGGTTTTTATTGTGATTTCTAGGAAGATATACTATCAATATTTTCATTTTGCAGTAAACATCATTAGGAAAAATGTATTAAGAAATCATGCAATAAAATATTTCTAAGTAATTGAATTATTCTTTTCTTCATTTTCCAATTCTAATTTAATGTACTGTGGGATGCTAATTTTATATTTAAAACTGTTTATACCTTAAATATGCTGAAAATATGACAATTTAAGTAATCACACAGCAATTAACAGCATTTTAGTACCACTAGCAGCATTCTGTTTAT